GTTGCCATGGCAACCAAAAGAAAAATCTTTAAATATCTTCTTTTAAACAACCCTAAGAGCTAGAGCTTAGATATTTGGCATGGAACATCTTCTAGTGAGTGTCTAACAAGTTTCTTCAAATAAAAGCCCTGGGGTCAAAATTGGCCCCGCCCCAGGGGGTCATTGATTTTCCCAATATGCATATAGTAAAAACTTAAAAAATCTTCTTTTAATGAACTGTAAGAGCTAGAGCTTAGATATTTGGCATGAAACATCTTCTAGTGAATGTCTACCACGTTTGTTCAAATAAAAGCCCTGGGGTCAAAATTGGCCCCGCCCCAGGGGGTCATTGATTTTTCCTATATGCATATAGTAAAAACTTAAAAAATCTTCTTTTAAAGAACCGTAAGAGCTAGAGCTTAGATGTTTGGCATGAAACATCTTCTAGTGAATGTCTACCAAGTTTGTTCAAATAAAAGCCCTGGGGTCTAAATTGGCCCCGCCCTGGGGGGTCATTGATTTTCCCTATATGCATATAGTAAAAACTTAAAAAATCTTCTTTTAAAGAACCGTAAGAGCTAGAGCTTAGATATTTGGCATGAAACATCTTCTAGTGAATGTCTACCAAGTTTGTTCAAATAAAAGCCCTGGGGTCAAAATTGGCCCCGCCACAGGGGGTCATTGATTTTCCCTATATACATATAGTAAAAACTTAAAAAATCTTCTTTTAAAGAACCCAAAGAGCTAGAGCTAAGATATTTAGCATGAGACATGTTCTAATTGGTGTCTACCAAGTATGTTCAAATAAAAGCCCTGGGGTCAAAACTGGTCCTGCCCCAGGGGGTCATTGATTTTCCTTATATGTGTATAGCAAAAACTTAAAAATCTTCTTTGAAAAAACCCAAATAGCTAGAGTTTAGATATTAAGCATGAAACATCTTTAAGTAAATATCTACAAAGTTTGTTCAAATAAAAGCCCAGGGGTCAAAACTGGCCCTGCCCGAGGGGTGTCATTGTTTTTAACTATATGTGTATAGTAAAAACTTAAAAAATCTTCTTTTAAAAAACTTAATGAGCTAGAACTTAGATGTTTTGCATGAAACATCTTCTTATGGGTGTCTACCAAGTCTGTTCAATTAAACAAATAAAAGCCCTTGGGTAAAAATTGGGCCGAGTGGGGGGGGGTTGTTCGGGGGCTATATACAGGTGAGCGACCTCAGGGCCATCATGGCCCTCTTGTTTCAGAATATCAGCACAGAGTTATACAAAGTAAATACCATGCTTTGATGAAAATATTTTTTTTTTGGTCAAAATCAACATTATGATAAACTTGTGTCAATTATTTCCCTGCTTTTCCTATAGCTATGTAATGACAACTTTATGTAATGGTATTTTAAATTACTTAATGATCTTCACAAGTACTTAATTACCACTGAAAGTTTGAGATGTGTTCAGTGGAGTCAGTATAACAATAATATATGCATAAAACATGAAGAGCAACATTTTGTTCAGTGTTTGGAAAATAGCATGCATTTATATGAAAACATGTTACTTCGACTTTTTTCAACAAAACAAACTAAATTATTACCAGGATAGTTCTGTAAGCATTCTGTATTCAACAGTACATTTATTCATTTTCCCTGATCTGATATCCTTGAGAGGAAACATCTCATGTGACTCAAAGACTTGAAAGTTTGCAACCTGAATGTTGAAAAATAAACATATGTACATGAGTAACAAGAAATTATTACAATTAAGGCATATGAATTTTATTAAATGTGAATTTGGAAATTCATTGCTTGATATGGAATCTGTTTCAATCACAAATATTTTGAATGGAAAATTATAATCTCTGATTTAAAATTTCCCGCCATTATTTAAAAATGAAAAAGATTTTCTTAACTATTAATATTGTAAAGTTACATGTCTGTAGAAATACAATCACTAAAACAGTGTATACTTGCAAAGAAAATTTGAAAAAACTAAAATAATAAGTGTTAAAAAATAAAAATACATTTGTACACTTACTGTTAGAAATGGTTATATATACAATGATAAACATGTAGTTCCCTCCATTTCCACTGAATCATGAAATACACATGTTTAAAAGTTCATATTTCCAGAAAACTTTTGTAAATTTGTCCAGTTTAAACTCATTTGATCTAATATCCAATGCTCAAACATAATTTTTCAAAACAAAACTTACAAGCAGTTAGGCACTAATAAACATTAGCTTTCAATGCTTTCTGTTCAAATGACCCGCCTGGAAGGAGTGTTCTGACCTGTGATTTGTTCTGCAAGGGTATTAAGTTACTTGGAAACTACAGTGTAATATAGTAGGTTGTAAACCTACTTTACCTCTTTCTATTCTCTTATATCAGATAGGTGAGTTTAACTTTGGTGTTTATGAAAACAGTGGGTTCCACTTGAGGGGTCATAAATATTTACATTGTGGCTGATGCTGATTTGAATGTTCCAGAAATTAATCACTATACATAAGTTACTTCTACACAAGATGAATATATAGATAAAATATATACTTCAATAGAGATACATAATAAATTTATCATCAATTAATAAAGAAACATAAGTGCATAACAATAATATTTGTTCTTAAATTCAACTTGTTTCTCTTTAATTGTGTATTTTTTTTTCCAACTAAGGGTAATATATAATAATGAACCTCTCAGATCTGAGGCTTGATATGAGATACCTTGAAAATAATGAGAGTTAAATGAAAAAATACCTAGCCAAAGTGTGGCAATGGAGTTGCATGTGTTTTTTTTTAGCTTTTTTTTGTTTTTTTTTTTTTTTTTTGCAATAAAAAAGAAACAGTTGAGCTTTTGAGGGGCTTATTACGGTTTCATTTTGTTTAACTATAAGTGTTTATTTTGCTAACTGCTACTTTTAATTACAATGAGTACACATGTATGACCAATCTCAATGCTAAGTAATTAAATTCAATTCTTGCTGTTTCAACAATTTACAATTGTGTCAATGCCATATTTTAAATTGTCTTTATTTTCATTATGTCTTAAAACCAGAAAACTATCTTATATTAAAAAGATTATTTATGACTACTTAAGAAAAAATATTTAAGTTAAATGTATTAAGACTTTAGTGCAGTATATGTAAATGCAGAAATAAAATGAAAATTTCCTAAGTCCAAAACTTTCTCAAAAATGACTAAGTGTTTTCCAGAGTAAAACTCCTTGAAAATTGTCTAAGTGTTAACTTTCCAGAGTTTCCAGAACTGTTTCATGGTTATTTCTTTGATGAAAAAGTCAAGTTCCAGAGTTCTCCATGAAAATTGTTCCAGAGTACTCTGTAAATACTGTGGAAAAAAGCTTGTTTCCATGAAAATTCATGGAAATTCATGGAAAATCAGTTATTTTCCAGAGTTTTTCCAGAAAGACTGTGGAAAATCTACAGACGGGAGTATCAATAAAAAAATCAGTCCTAGAAACCTGCATTCATTTCAATCTGAATAATTTCACATTGAAACTTCTAAAGCCTAGTTTTAAAACAAAAACATACTGTAGTGTATTCCTTGAAGCTTTTCCTGGTCTACAGTTGGCTTCCTTTCACCTTATTTCAAACCACTTGCCCCTCACCGCTGTGGGTTCGAATCCCGACAGGGGCTTGGATTCTTTCATGTGAGGAAGCTATCCAGCTAGCTTACGGAATGTCGGTGGTTCTACTCATGTGCCGTTCATGCCTGAAATAATGCACGGAGGGGCACCTGAGGTCTTCCTCCACCAGTAAAGCTGAAACGTCGCGATATGACCTATACTGTGTCAATGTGACGTAAAACCCAATCAATCAATCGATCATTCACCTTATTTTGCAGGTGTCCATGTCAATGACTTTCCAGTTTATTCCTCTTCTTTATATAAGAGACAGAAAAGCTGGATTGCCATCTTGATGTAGTTTGCAACACCTGCAAACTTGCTTTCAAGCTGACCAGGGCTGCAGATAACATGCGTATTTGCGTAATAACCCATTTAAAATGTCTAAAAACCCAATAGAAATAATAACTAAGGGTAAGAAAAAGTAAATGAATTCTTATTTATACAAACTTCATTTGAACTGGTGCGTTATGACGAAAATTATTACTTAACGCGTACATCAGGCAGATCATACTGTTTCAGACTGTTTTAACCTTTAAATTATATAAGGCAACTTGGAAATCTCCTAGGCCAATAAACCATAAAGCAAAGTAGTAAGTAGCTTTTTTATTACCGTACAAAACCTACAAATGTCTACAATGAAGGTCAAAAATTTTGGGTAAAATGCATGAACTTGTACTTTATAACCCAAATTGGTTAGAGGGGGTAGGGTAAAAAATACAGAAATAACTCAAAGAAAATAGAAAAAACCCAATAGATCACAAAATAAGGGGTAATTACCCAATATACACAAAATGTTATCTGTAGCCCTGGCTGACTCTGTAATTTGTAGATTTAAATGATGGATGAAAGATGAAAGTTAATGAATAATGTCATCATAGTTTCATACATGGCTATACTAATGTTTTCACATACATATACCACTGTTGCGATTTGATATTGCATGAGGTGAAAATACTTTGATGTTACATCATTTACATTCCTTTCTTTCTCTGTCACAGTCTGTGAAAGCTTTATTATATGTAGCTTCAGGAAATTGAAAAAAGAAACAGAGACCAAAATGAATGATAAATTATTATTTAGAAAAAAGCCATTTGTCCAATTTACTTATTCATTTGTGCTACAGAGTGCACTGTAAGCTTGAATATTGCATTGTTATTTGATTATTATTTCTTATAGTTTCCAGCTAATTTCCTCTTAAAGATAATAACATGTATGCATAAATTTCCCTTCTCAATTATATCAGCATATTTTAGAATATTTTTCTTAAAGTTTGTTCAGTCATAAATATTCATATATGTGTATTTCTCTTTCCTAGTATTTCAGCTCTTTTCTTCTTAGAGGGTGTGGAGTAATAAATATCCTGTTGATTTCTCCTTTCTATTATTTCAGCCAATTTCCCGTTGGAGGTTGTTCGGCAATTACCGGAGGAGATTGGAGGCGGAGTTTACTACGGTTGGGCCTCTGTGGCTGATGGTCCTGTGTTTAAAATGGTAATGAGTATAGGCTGGAATCCATATTACCAAAACACAGTGAAATCTATGGTAAGGCAATGATCATTCTTTGGGTGATAAAGTTTTCGTAATGTATTGCCAAGCTATTCTAAAACCTTTTTGTATTGATTTGGCTGGTATAAATATCCAGGATTAGTAACAAGAAACTTTAATTGAGCTAGCGACAGTCAGTTTTCATGACTATAGTTATAATCATGTTTTCCAAATCATGCTGTCTTCTTTGTTTTTCGTTACCAAGGCAACCTAAGATCATCCTTATCAGCACAATTATGCATTTGCAAACAGTTCCAATAGGACTTTTACAGAATTACAGAGGATGTCAAGTGTACCACCTTTAGCAAGACACTGTATCATTTAATGCCAAAAACATCTTGTATGGAGTTTATTTGACTGGCTATTAACAGTATTGGTAATGGCCATTGGGAGACTGATTACTGCATTATTCAAGTATTGGAGTGACATTATTTGTACATTTTCTTAAATTCTTTTAATTGTTAAGCAATAAAACCCACTTTTGTGGGTAGGTAGCTGGAGGGGAAACAAACAATGTTGTTTTTAGGCCTAATCTTACAACTCACTGTGTATAAACTTTATAAACAGTTGATAAATAAACATGTGTTATATTTCAGGAAACTCATATTATACACAAATTTAAGGAAGATTTCTATGGCAGCAACTTGAAAGTGTGTTTATGTGGTTACCTTAGAACAATGAAAAATTTTGGATCTTTAGGTAAGTTTACATTCATAACTCTTTTGAGCCAAAGTAAAAAAATAACAGGCCTGACTCGTCTGAGATAGGGGCAATAATCTTGGTATTCTTGCAAATCAGACAGGTTTATCTATTAATTACACTGGTGCTACACATCCCCATGTAAAACACACCCTTTTATGAATGAATTGCGTTCTTACGATGACGCCATTATACCGTTATGAACAAAGTTGTAAATTCATATGCTACTATAAGAAAAAGAGCTAAATAATTAATAAAAATAGAGTTTTCGTAACTTCTTTGCCTAATATCATTAATTTGTAATATGCAAGAAAAAAGATTCAAACATTCGGCTGTTGTTACAGACAGGAATATCTAGCTCTCAGGGTTAATGTTCAGCAGAAACTCGGCAGAGCCTCGTTACCTTTGTAAACAGTTACCCTCGACTCG